TGCCCATGAGAGATGATTCAAATAGTGAGTGATGTTTTGGTCCACACATTGCCTGACTGAACCAACAAACGTTTTTACAGACCCCAATTTTCCCGTCCGACATCTTCCAGACAAGATGGGCCTCGTAATATCTGCCAAAAGAGAACCGGGCGATCTTTTGGTCCACATTTTTCTAAAAAAAACTCGAATCCTCCATAAGATCGCCCAGGGCGGGGTATCAGCCGAATCCGGTAACTGAAATGTGATTACTGTTGAGTGAATTTTATACAACAAAATAGCCACCAATAATGTTCAATGTATTACCAAGCAAGATTGAACAAAATATCGGGTATTGGAAGCTGCTCTGCTAAGTACAACACCCAATCAAAACCTGTCCAAAAGTCGTCTGTAAGTGATTTATTTCTAGCACTATTTAAAAATGTCTGATCGCCCTAGACATGCCAGAGATGGTGAACGGAAGCCACCACATATGACCTGCTAGGAGGCACTATTATCCATGTGCATGTTTTGTAACATACAAAAAAGTTTGTGCAGCAAATATTAGTTCAGCATATTTATTTTCTTGCACTAATAACTTATGCGTTACAGCACTAAATCATTTATTTTTATTTACTCATAATTTCCCATTATTTACTCACAATTAGTACAACAAAATAAATATTATTTACAAGCATTTAGATATAAGTGCAAAAAAAATAATCCTCAACTAATATCGTAAAATCTGTATTAGAAGCCGCATCCCTTATATTAGTTGCACACATTCTTTTTGAACAATTTCTCATATGTGTAGATGCTCTAAAAAATACTGATCTTATCAGTATCCAATTGTATTCAATCAAACTGTTGGTTTTATCAGTTGCAACTTACAGACAGACATCTGGAAAGGAAGCTGATACATTTTTAAATGAAACTACTATTCCAGTTTAAGCCAATGGGGCATATTTACCATCGCATAATACATGTACCTCCAAAAATGTACAAATTGAGAAAGACTGGACAAAAATTACTCCTGGTCAAAAGAAAGCGTAAATGACGATGCTCAATCACAATGACTAGTAACCCATATCCCTCATCACTTCATTATCATTACAGAGTGAGACAAAGTAAAAATAAATTGATGTGTTCCCAGTCCTATCTACCCACATTTTGTAAAGTAAAATATTCAAAAATTTATTTTATGTACATTAGCACAACTTTTTTTGTGTAAATTAACTGTGATCATTCCACAAACATTGTACAGCAATATACCATCACCAGTAGTTATTGCCTGATAATGCCAGCTTTTGACATTGGAACAGTGGAAGTCTGCAGCAGTGAGATAGAATCCCAAAGTTATTTGAAC